ATATTTACATAAATAATAAATGCATATACCGCAGTACCTTTGCCGCTCCCGCATCGCCAGCTGTAAACCCAGTCTCTTCGCTACCACAAATCCCCAAAAAAAGAAATCTCCTAATTAAACTACGACGCATATATCACACCACTAATTATCTGACTCAAACCTAATAGAATTCAGATCACACAATCTAACAATAAGAATATAAAAGTATAAAAAACTTTGAAAGAAAAAAACAATAAGATGACTTTTCCCACTATATTAAATAAAATGAATCCTTGGAGATATCAAGTCATTATCACTAAGGAAGCCCCCTCTTAAATTGAGAATTAAGCACAAGGCAATCTAACACCAAATTTAGCTCTTTTATTCTAACTTTTTGTTTTTTAATGGCAAAGTGTAGCTTTTAGCTAAGGTTTCTTGTAAGCCTCTTCCTTGCTTACATTGTTGGAATAAGTGAATTTATGTTGAAATCCTCCTATTTAAAAATACTTTAGCTTAGGTTTTAGGTGCACCAAACTGGTTGTTTGGGGATTGAACAGCTTGTCTGCATCTCCCTTCTCACAAGCAATGAGGGAGATGGTGTGGAGAAGAAATATGGATATTTAAATAAATATAAAGAAATATTTTTTTTATATATTATAAAAACATTTACTTTCATGATGTTTTAATCCTTCATATCTATGTATTTTAGTTTTTTTATTATTTATGCTTCGTTTGGGACAGTTTTCTTACGGCTTTATTAAATATAAAAAAAATTGTACTAAACCTCTGTTTTATAAAGCATTAAGAAAGTTGTTCCAAACGAAGTCTTATTTGCAACTGTGACATTTGTGGTTATGGGATTTGATATTTAAATATTACTAGAAAGACATCCAATTTAAGAACTTTAAAATGTTTTAGTGCATAGGATGAGAGATATGTGAATAAGAAGAAAGCCTTTGTAAGAATAATTTGATGCAAATTATATGAAGATAGGCTTCAAAGTTCTTAAATTTGTATTGAGATTAGAGCAATTCAGAATATTATATATGTAGCACTAATCTCAATGTAAATCCAAGAACCTATGAAATTTTGAACTATTCAAAATAGTACCAAAAATGACTCAAATTGAACAAAACAAAATTGAGTCGATTGCTAACAATATAACAAGCACAAACTCTTAATTATCGAGGTATTTTAGACTTTAGCTTATGGACCTTATAATTTTATATCATTGGTGCAACTTATAGGTCATTTATCCTCAGAGTGCTTTCAAATGAAAACAGTTGTTATTAAAAATATCTTAGAAAATTCTAATTGGTACAAGAAATGGAACCACAATGTTTATGAGTTCAAATTCATTCTACTTAAGGTTCTTTACAATATTCTTACTTAAGTAATTAATATCCCTATTAGTATTCCTATAAATAACCAAAATCACCCACTAAAAATATAGGATTCTAAAGGTGGCTTCTACAAGTTTAGGAGGTGTCTACCACCGTATAATAGTTTATCCCAAGAAGGATTATGACTATTGTATTGCTTTCATACCTCATTCGTAGTAGCTCAAACTTTTAATTATCAAGATATTATCCTCTTTGGCTTTGAAGACCTCGCAATTTTGTCCACTTACAATAATTTCACGAGCATTCATACCAGTAGTCCTTTTATATGAGCACAAGAAACTTTAAAATGTCTAATGAATGTCAATTGTTACATTAAAAATGACCTTTATGTTTAAGAGTCCAATTAGGCTTATTTGGGATGGCTTTCTTACTGCTTTCTGAAGCAGTTTTTTAATACAAAATTTTTTAGTTTAAAAAATTTTTGTTCTAAAAAAATTACTTTAGAAAGCAATAAGAAAGTCCTCCCAAACAAAACCTTATTCTCCTTTTAAGTTATTTTGCATGGGACCACCACACAAATCATCTCTTATAGAGGGCAAGGAAGACAAAATATGCTGCACATTATACCACAGATTCGATGACAACGAAGGATCATAAATTATTACAAGTCTTGAAATAATTCATAACCTTAGATCTATCTAATGAACAAATAGCTCTCAATCAAAGAGCATAAAAATCCATCAAGATTCTTAAAGCTACCCTACAATTTTAGGCACACAATATATATCATAATAATAATTACAGTCATATCTTGCTCTTTGAATTAAGCTTCACAAAAGTAAAGCTTGAATTTAATAATACTAATATTGTCCTCGTTGCCAATATGAGCACATTATAAGTGAATTGCTACACTAGATGAATAATTCAATATTTATTTCATATAATACTTGGTGATGTGAAATTGCGGTGTTGGTAGCGGTTGATGGTGGCAGCCAGAACAATGAAGATGACGACTAGTGGAGCAATAAGGGATGCAAGTGGGGCTACAATGATTGTTAGCAGTGGCGGTAATCAAGAATAGGTTTGTCAATACTTGATACGACCCGAAAACTCGATTTGAACTCAACCCAAAAATTTTCAGTTCGGGTTAGGAATTTTGACCCATTTGTAAAGTCAGGTCGGGTTTGGGTTGACCCGGAAACCGAAATCAGTCCAGTTTGACCCATTTTTAATTAATTAAGAAGGATTTTAAAAGATAGTTATGAAATAAGTAAATGATATTTCCAAAAAATAATAAACTATGTTGACCAAACTGAATTAAGCTTGGTTTATTTTAAATTAATTGGAGTAAATCTTACCTTAATTCTATTTAGGTTTAAATAAATTGAATTAAATCAAAAAATTTAGTAAAACATATCCAAAGCGGGTGGGGTTTGGGTTGACCCGAACCCGAAGCGGGTCAGGTTCGAGTCCAAACAATTGACATGTTTGCAAAAACGAGTCGGGTCAAATAGTGTCGGGTCAATTACAGGTTGGACAAGAACCTGACCTATGACCCAATTTTGACAGCCCTGATCAAAAATATTGGCAATAATGATGGCTGATGGTGGCCTTTGTCAACATTGATTGATGCTTGGTGGATAAGATTTATTGTTTTGAAAATATAAAAAAAAATAAAATTATTTAGACATTTTAAAAATAACTTAATTTATATTAAAAATAAAAAGAAAAAAATAATGATTTTTTTAAAATGAAAAGTGTTGCAAAATGGGTTCTTAATGATCTCTTTTAACTCGGAGAAAAACTTGTAAATCTAATTATTATCATAAAAATATAATTAATTAGGCACAATCAAAGCATAATAAAGATTGAAATTTTAATAAATAAATGTAAATAAGATTTTAAAATTTGAGTTGAAAAAAAAAGTTGGCTCGAATAAAATAATATGCATACATAGTATTTTAAAATTTATATTTTAAGATTCTAAAAAGTATTGATTAATTATTAATAATCTTAAAAATAAGTTGAACATAGTAATTAATTTAATTTACTTTTTAAGAATTTAAAACTCGCCAAAGTTATCCATTTGACGGGCACCCTGAATAAAAATCCTCTTACGCTGATGAGAGCATCAACACATGTACCTACAGAGTCATATAGTTTTGGACCTCCTCTTACGCTGATGAGAGTCCATCACTTATGCTTTCTACATTACCAAACGCTGAGGCTGCATTTACTATTGATTTTGTACCTTCATCCTTACCTGAGGCATCCACCACACAAGCGGATGATAATGTCGATAAGCAGCACCACCTATGCACTAGACCATTTGCATGCACCTCAGCATTTTACTCTTGACAGTGATGTAATACCACATCATTATAAGAGGAGGCATCGTTGATGTGTATTTTGTACATTTTGGATACTTCTATTTAAATTTATGATGTTCATGTTGTACTCTTTTGATATGGATTAGATATTGCTTCTTTGTTCTATTTCATATACCTTCACCTATATTCAATTTTCGTGTGCTTTGTTATATTTTAAATTCCAAAATAGCCTTCATTCATGACAGATTAAAAGACAATTAAGAATAGAAAATTTACAACATAATACAGGCTAAACAATAAAACAAAGAATAAACTTAAACACTTCCAATGACATGATCAGAGAAAGATGAAATCACATATTCCTAATTAGCATGTGCAGGAAAATTTAGAGTTGTGTTTAGTTGGACAACATTTGAAGTTGTACTCAAACCCTTATTGAATATACTCTCAATCTGCTCCATTCAAAAAAATCCTTCTTCTTTCCTTACACAACATCTCCAATAAGCTTCTTGTAGGACTCTAAAAGTCATTCATTGTGTAAATGATACCATTTATGGTACACAATCCAGTGATATATATCAATCATTGACCTTTCAATGACCATCTCGACTGATCCTTCTTTATCATGTCCGATTTCACGAATTTAGCCCTTCAACATGTCCAGCGAAACCAAATGTCCATCATGTTCCATGAACCTTTGCTGCAAATATCTTTAGCACGCGTCTCTAAGATTATCGCCAGCCCAGTACAGCTTTATTTTCATAACTTCATCATGTGTATGCCATAATAAGCAATCTTCCTCTTCGCTCCAAGAATGCATAACAACGAAATATTTCATTAGTTTGGGCCTTCGATTTCTTCGAATCTTATCCATAATCAGCAAATATAATGCTGAGTTATGTATAAGAAGTTGCACAAATCTTTAATCATCAGTCACCTGTCAAATAGAAAACTTTGATAACTTTTAAAATTTTAAAATACATTGGTTAATTACGTAATTATATATTAAATAGTACTAAATTAAAAAAGTCATCCTATTTTATTTATGTAAAACTCATAAAATATAGATATTTTGTTTAGTTGGCTTGAGTGGGTTGGGGAAGTACCACTCCATCTCATTCTCAATTCTCAATTCTCAATTCTCAATGCAACACTTTCCAAACAATAATATATAGTTACTGTTGCTTGAAATGTGAAGATTGGTTCTGTTTTCTTGAAAACTTCTTTACCGTTGTTTGAAATTGAGGTCGACTGTTAAAAAATATTTTTGCTTGTTAGTGATACGACTGTGTATTTGGGGGAGGATGGTGGGTGTTAGAAGATAGGAAGAGCAAAGGTAGAGAAGAGAAAGGTAAGAGAATTTCCTGATCATTGAAACCTGATGAGCAGTACAGCAAGGATATTCCATGACCATCGCAACCTGAGGAGAAGGCGACTAGTACAGTACTCTTGACTCACGTGCAAGATAGAATATTAGAAATTTAACAATGTTAGCCTTATCATGACGATGACAACTTGAAGGAGAGAGAGAGGGCAGGCGTGAGGAAGAAGGGGGGAGATTTTGGTGTGGTTTATTTCTTCTAAAGTTGCTTCATTTGGTGGAAATTTTTTATTACAGTGTTGATTTGTGGTTGGAGCTTGATACTATTTTAAACGTGGTGGTGGTTAAGAAAGGGCTTTTATTTTTAAAATCCTTGGGATTAGTTTGTTCCCTTCCTGGGAGGATTTCTTTCTGCAGATCGGCCATGGATTCACGCCTTCCTGCTCCCCACGAGGCGCACAGTAGGATCCTTCTCTCTTCTTTCGCTATTTCTTGCTCAGATATCTTTGTTCTAGTGAGTTTTTGAAGTTTGAACCCATCTCTTTGCAATTAAGGAATACTTGTTGCCGAGCAATCTTCTCTTTCTTGGGTTTGCTGAAATTTCTGTTTTTATGTTTTTCTTTTTAATTCTTTTGTTTCGTACTATGATAATAAGAAATTGTAGAGCCCTACCTCTTCTGCTAGGGTTTTTGGTTATTGTTTTGTCTTCGTTTATATGTTGACTAATTCGTTTGAGACTGTTCGAGAAAAGTACTTTTGGCCTTAAAAACTCTTAATCGGATAGGGAAATGAAGCAAGTTGAGATTTTGATCTTTGTTCTACACCCTTTTGGTTGTTTTGAGTTAGTTGACTCACTTTCTGTTGCAACAAGTGAAGTCCTTGGAGTTCAGAGTTCAACTTCGTAGTATAAAGATCTCGTAGAACCATGGCCTGGAGGTTGGTCTGGGTATTTTATTTGACATGGAAGGTCTAATGTTTCAATTGATTTAGGTACCGTTTGGAAGAAGACTTTCTAGTTTGAGAGTTGGTGACAGAATTCTTAATTTTGTAGCACCCTTTCTGCTTTGTGAATTTATTTAATGGAGATTTATATTCAAATGTTTGCACAGTTTCTTTCTCTGGTTTATTGGCAGTTTTCCTTGTAATTTAATGATGATTGTTTCAGTCTCTCTATGATTGCTTTTCTTTTCTCATCACAGAAAGTGAACTGCTTTGTAGAAGAAACTATTTATTGACAGTAATGCTTTCTTTCAGCCTCTCTCTCATGGTTTTCAAACATCTTCTGAGTATGACATGATTGTTTATCAATTCTTTCATTCTTTTGTATTTTTTTATTCTTCAATTTCTTTTTCACATTTTCCATAGGCGCCCTGAGCCGTCCATTTAATTTAATGATGATTGTTTCACTCTGTCACCACAGATAGTGAACTGTTTTGTTGAAGAAACTATTTACTAACAGTTAATGCTTTTGTTCAGCCTCTGTTGTTTTCATCCACACAGTTTTAAAAAGTGTCTTAAATAAGAGATTCTTATTAATAATTCCTTTCCATTTTTTTTTGTTTTTTGTTTTCTTGTCATATTTTCTATCTAACTCCTTGAATTTATTCTACTTTTTTTTGTAAAAACTTCTTATTCCCAATCTATGTTCTTACTTTCTTGCATTCAAAATGATTATTTGTAAATTCTCCCGACTACTCTTTTAATTGACAGGATAAACAACTGAATTTTATGCTTTAAAAATCAAGGAAGACAACAATGACAGTTTTCTACTCCAGCTCTACTAATCAGGATGAGATCATGCCTAGCCTATACCCGCGAGAACCAGCTCGTGCAACATATACCGAGATACCATTTCAAGGAAATATGATGTATTTTCACCATTCATCTTCTGCTCCGTGTACCGTGAATGCGCAGGATTCATCTGAAGAAGCAGCCAATTTGGTGGCAAATCGTTTTGGCGAAAATATGTATGATTCTTGGAGGGAAGGAAGAAATGAGATGTTGTTGATGCAGACAGTTGGTGGATCAACAAATGATGATTCACATTTGAGTATTTTGAGTGGCCAGAACTTCCCTCTTAGTGGTTCAACAATGCAAGGTCAAGGGTTATCTCTCAGCCTTGGCACACAAGTTTCAGTGCCTACTTTTCATTATTTGCCTGCTACTGCAGATATATCCTTCTCTGTTCCAAATCAGCCAACATCATTAAGTGATGGTTCATGTAAAAAAAGCTCAATGATCAAGCATGTCCAGGTGAATTCCTCCCATCCTAGTGTTCCATATCTCATGAGCTCCACCCTTAACTTGAATTACCTGAAAGCAACACAAGAGTTGCTTGATGAAGTAGTTAACGTTCGGAAAGTTTTGATACAAAAAAGGGGTAAAAACCAAAATCTAGGTGACTCCAGTGGTTTCACTGACTGCAAAGAGTTTGATGTAGGCTCAAAGAGCAATGAGGTTCCATCAATGCCTAGGGATGATGCTGCCAGTTCAACCAAGGAGCTTTCAGCTTCTGAGAAGCAGGAGTTTCAAAACAAGTTGACAAAACTTATGGAGATGGTTGATGAGGTTTGTCTGGGCATAAATTCAGAACTGACATTCATTTTGAATATTTTCTCTCTTGAAAAACAGAGAACTCCTGGTCTCATTGAAGTGTTAGACTGTTGGTTTTCTGTTCTTATTCATTATAAAATAGTAGGGATATAGTGTTTTTTGACAGTAAGTAACTGCTACTCTTGTAGGTTTAGGTTTTATCTTTTACGGTCTCTTTTAAATCTGTGTTCACATCTTTCCATGAATCAGGAACCAGAGATTTTTGATATTTTCAAAAAAATCATCATTAATTTATCAAACGTTCATCAATAAGGGTGTGAATAAAATTATCAAATAATCCAAAATCATATAGTAATATGTTTCATTATCTACTATTTGCTCTAAAATCATTTTGATATGTCACCAAAAATAGTCTTGATCTAGCACGAATCTCAAAGCAAACCGTCTCCAATAAAAGAAGCGAATCAAGCTTTTGTAATTCATTCAAACTTAGTACAACTTTCTCATCTGGGTCGGGCCTTGTGGTTTTTCCCTTTCATGATTTTCCACGTAAAAAAACTTCTAGTGTTCTATTTTCTCTCAAATATTTGTTGGTGTGTCGGATATACGCACATTGCTTAGACACTTTATTCTCCTACCCTATTGCTTCATATATTCTCGCCCGCAACACATTTATTACCGTTTATGTAGTTATTTCATTGTCAATGATAATAAATTTCCAGGTGCAGCAGTGAGGGTATAAAGATATTTTGATAATAACTGACAACCAATGAAATTTCCAAATAATCCTTCCTGTGGCTATATGCTTTTTTGCTATCCGTTGTATCCGTGCTTCCATCTGCAGTTGAATCAGGAAACAGAGATTCTTTCTTTTTCATAAATTCTTGTATTATTGTTTCCATATTTAATACAACTGTTTAAAATTGATGTTACTGTGAAAAAACCTGCAATAACTAAGATACCCTTTAAAAAATGTGTACAATCCTTAAGATTGCAGTTCATGTGATTACATTTAGGCTTCGTCTGGGACGGATTTTTTATTGCTTCTTAAAACAACTTTTTAGCACAAAAATTTTAATTTTTGTAGTAGAAAGCAGCCTTAAGAAGCAGTAAAAAAGCCGTCCCAAATGGAGCCTTAAGTGATGATTACTAGCCGTAGACAATTGTTGAAGTTAGTTATGAAAATATCTTGCTGTCACAGAGCATTTATTTTAAAAGGGCAATAGTTGATTTAACAAAGTTCATAACTAGTACTCAATAGGCAGATTGGGAATTCAATCAGCAATTTGGCCTGTATTATTGTGCTAACCTTCAGATGCATTTCTTTTAGGAGTCTGATAGCATATATACTTTACTAGTTTTGCTTCCTGCTTTCTGAGTTGTTAAACCTGCATTGAATCCTGCTTAAGAAGTACAAAACAATCAAGAAATTATGAAGGTGGCTATGCATGTTTGAAAATTCCACCATCTTTTTTATTTTGGAGGACATTTTAATCCTTGTCCTCTCTTTGGAAGGTTAATGGTAATGCCCACAATTCCCATTTCAGCCCGAGGAAAGGAGATCATACCCAAATAAAAAATAAAAAAAATTCTTTGTAAAGAGCACCATCACTGTTATAAAAAGATGATGAAAATGATAATTGTGGCTGAGTATTACTTACAAATGCTAGATTTATTAGAATTATTATGTTATTATATTAATATTATCGCAAACGCTTCACATTTATTAGGAATCTATAGTATTTATTAGTATAATATGTCCTCATCATTAAAGATATTCTCTTTTGTTTTGTTTTTTATTGAGCTCTTTTCTTATTGTGCTATAATTTAGATCATTTAAATAAAGTAGTAGTAGTTTATATGTTTTGTTGTGGTATCAAAGCTAAGGCTCTAAGTCATCTCTGTCTTCTTTCTTTCTCTCGTATTTCATGCGATCAAGGTCCTGTTGTGGATCTCATGAAGATTAGTGAATATCGTAGGAAGATATGTGTAAATACCATCATTTGTTGACCTAGGAGTTGGTTTAGATCTCTTTGGGATCCCTGTGAAGATCAGTGAGACCCCATCGTTTGCCCACTCTAGCCTCACTAACCTCACGACCTACTGTTTACTTCTTGCTAACAATCTAACTTCTTCATTTGCTTGCTCTCATGTCGAAACCTTCTACGACTAACTATCCGCTCACGCATTGATCTCGTAGTGTTTTCGCTTGCCCCTGGCACTTGATGTTTTCATCTCGCATCTCAAAACTAATTAAATGATTCATCTTAGCCTTGTCTTGGTTTGACAAATAACAATTCATCTAGTATCTTGTTTGATGGTCCCGTGAAGATTCTGTGAGGATCCTCTCTTGGGACGAGTCCATCAATTTCAACCTCATCAAAGGTTAGCCAAGATCATTTTCTCAGTTATTCTTGGCTTTCCTGTAGAACATCTCATTCTAGTGTGATTGGCTTATATCAAAATTTTCAAAAATATGTTAAATAGCTTTTGACTATACAAACTCTTGATGCTTATTTTTGTAGCATCATGAGTTTGTGGGAGGATGTCAAAATTTTTAGAATTATTATGTTATCATATTAATGTTACGACATACGCTTAAATTTTATTAGGAATTTATTGTATTTATTACTGCAATATATGCTCATTATTAAGAATACACTCTTTTATTGCCTTTAAATAGACATGTTTGTACTTACATTAAGTCTATTAAAATAAATACGTAGTACGCAGCTCACCTTGGTCTATTTTGGCTCCCAACCAAGAGGTCTTGGGTTGGAGTCTTGCGTATGTGATGTGTGTGTGAGTTTGCCTTAATTGGCCTAAATGTCCCCACAAAAAATGTAGTCTTTTATGATGTAGAGCATCTTAGTTAAATTGTTCCTTAGGCATATGTTAATTAGTTTGTTACAAATTTGTTATAGGATTTTAGAATGTTCTTGATTTCTCTAGGTTTCTTTTGCTAGCTTATAAGAGTAGGAGTTGTAAGAGGGAAGAGGTATGAATATATTTGTGGGAATTTAGCAATGTTTTCATTGTTTGTGTGTTCTAGCTCTGAGGAGCTTTATTTGAAATGCTTCATCGAATGATCTCCCTCCATCATTTTATATTTTGTCAGTAAAATCCTTGTTTTTGTGGTTTATCAAACTTTCCAAATCAATCATTTGTCCCCTATTCTGTGGTCTTTTGTTGTACATTTAATAAAAAATTAACCATTTGCCTGGCACATGTATTGAGAAGATATTTAAATATGATTCCCCTTTCTTCCTCCTTGCTCACTCTCTTTGTCAAATTTATCAATATTCAATCATAGCATCTATAAATCTGATTATAATCACCATTCGATATTTCTAATTGTCCATTCTTCTCCTCCATGCAGGTTGATCGAAAATACAAGCAATATTACCATCAAATGCAGATAGTCATGTCTTCCTTTGATGTCATAGCCGGTGCAGGAGCCGCTAAGCCGTACACCACGCTTGCCCTTCAAACAATATCCCGCCATTTCCGGTGTCTGAGAGATGCTATTAGTGCTCAGATACAATCAACCAGGAAAAAGCTTGGGGAGCAGGATAATGGTGATAGTGTTCGACTGTCCCGCCTCCGCTACATAGACCAGGAGCTAAGACAGAGGAGGGTGGTGCAGCAGTATGGAATACTGCAGCCTCATGCTTGGAGACCACAAAGGGGCTTACCTGAGAACTCGGTCTCGATTCTTCGAGCTTGGCTGTTTGAGCACTTCCTCCACCCGTAGGCCTTTTTCATTATGCTTCCATTTTTAATTGTTAGAGCTACAGTTTGCATTTACTGATCCATAACTATTTACTGTGTCCAATCCTCCATCAGATACCCAAAGGATTCTGAGAAGCTAATGCTTGCACGACAAACAGGTTTAACAAGAAGTCAGGTATGTTTTTTATTCTCTCATTCTTTTAAATTTGAATTTTAAGTCCTGCAGTCTCACATATTTGTCTAAGGTTTCGTTTGGGACAGCTTTCTTACTATGTAAGAAGTAGTAAGAAAGTCATCCCAAAAGAAGCCTAATATATCTTTGACTGATTCATTACTGTCATCATCCTAAGTTAAGCTGCATGTCTCATCAATATGATTTTGGAGATTAATTAAGTATTTATCAGTTAAAGGTCCATACATATTAACAAATTTGTGCAAGCTGCTATTTCTTGCTGGGGCTAGATCTAATTGTTATGCATATTTTATGGCTTTGTCTGATCACAAGAAGGACACTGACAGCTACTTCAAGATATGAAATATGCGTTTTGAAAAGAGATGTGATTTGCTGTGTATAATTACGGTAATCCTTATGCATGATATTGCTAAAGAGCTAATATCCAGAAATAGCACAATGTTTTTGTTAGGAAACACTCGAAGAACTCGAGTGAAACCTAACAATCTTGACAAAAACAGCAAGAAATCTCCACGAATCCAATGAAAAATTAGAGAAAACAGTAATTTTATTGCGATAACCAAACTGACAGAAGAAAAGTAACAAGATACAATTGATTCTCTATTCGAGAGGAGGATCTATCTCTCCCAAATCTCTAGACGTCTCTAGAGCTCAAAAACCTAAACCTAAGATATCTCAAATTTCAGCCAAATTCAAGATGTCCTAACCCTAGGAAAACAAACTATTTAATGCATACAATCAAAAAGGAAATCGCTTAACAGTCCCTACATTCAAATTTCCCTCCTAACTCCCTACAAAATTCTTCCTAAACAGCTCCCTTTGATTCGGCGGTTTAAGCTGTGTACAGGAGAGGCGGAATTCTTCCGCCTCTGTTCCGCCTTAGCCGGTCCGTGTGGACCAGTCTAAAAGTTTTGAAATTTTTTATCATGCGTTCCTTTTTCATATTTGATGAGGTTGAATCGAAACGAATTCTGCTTAATCAGGTATCAAACTGGTTCATAAATGCACGGGTTCGCCTTTGGAAGCCTATGATCGAGGAAATGCATAAAGAAGAGCTTGGTGATATTGACATGGACTCTAAATCATCCCCTGACAGGCTACAGAAAATTCAAGAGGATATGAGATATACCATTGGCAAAGATGAAGATCCACAGAGTTCTGATGCTGAAAATTGTAGATTGAGCCATTCCAATGAACCCTCAAAATCCAATCCCATTATTGATCCAGACACTTCTGGTTCCGGTGTTCATTTTGATCACAAGCCAAGGGATGAAAAATTGGCTGGAGAAGAAAGTAGTCTGCTACAGACTGACATTAGCAATCCTGATGATGGAAGTGGGAGGATCATGGCTTATCAGATGGCAGAGTTGGGTCAATATGGAACTGGTATGGTCTCTCTAACACTTGGGCTCCAGCACTGGAGCTCGAATCTTCCTGTATCAAATGATCAGCATAGCTTCATGTCAGTGCGAGGAACCGATGTTTACAGCTCAAATTCTTCGCCATTAGAGGCAAATGTGGGGAGTTATGTTTTCGAGAACATCGGAGACCGGCACCATGGTTGTGCTGGTTCTTTGCATTTCATGCAAGGCTTCACACCTTGATGAAGATGATAACTGTTACATAAATTGTAGCAGTTCTAAATGATATCTTGAACCTACATTGCAGTTATCATTAGTATAGAGATTTGAGATAATCCTAAAACAAAAAAGAAGTGCATTGTTTAGGCATTAGAGGGTTGCAAATGCTTGTGTAATATGTAGAGAAGAAAGGGTCCTTGTAATTACTGCCATTTATCATCATCCAACCATTAAAATGTTTGTGGATGAGATAGCTATTAGGCATTGTAGGATTGAATAATTCCCAGTTATGTAAATAACATTGGGAGCCTTTGTGTGAAGGTAGCTTGTAAGTTGAACAACAATTATCCAGGTTGTGTTTTTGTGAATCACAAACTATGCCATGGATTTGGCATCTTGTTGTTTTATTGTTATATTATTTTATGTATGAATTGGATTCATTTAATAGTTATGATTCAGTTCTTTCATGGTTTTATCTTTTGAATGATGAAGTTGTCAAAGCCGCTGGCTGAAATGGTGAAATTATTCTGTGCTGATACGGAGGCCGTTTGGAGGCAAATCAGAATGCGCCACATCATCCGTTTGCTGTGTACCGGGAGACTGCGCATTCCGATTCGCCTCCGGATGGTCCGGTGTCCACACAGAATAATTTCTCGTTGAAATGACATGTCAGCTGCTATATATCATCATACAAAAAAAGTGATATCATTTCATTATTTTTTGAGAAAGTTTTGACTTTTGAAGGATAAATTTGATGCAGAGGGATTCAATCTTAAGATTTTAACAATAATTTTTTAAAATTTTACCAACTAATTTCTATTAATATTACTTAGGTTTCATTTGGGATAATTTTTTTAATGTTTTTTAAAACAATTTTTTAATATAAAATTTTTTTAACTATAAATTTTTGTAATAAAAAATTATTTAAAAATAATAATAAAGCCATTACAAACAAAACTTTAGTATGATAACAAACTCAGTTGGGGTTATAGGAGGTTTCTTAGAACAATTAACATGAGGAGATATTTAAGAATCCACTCTGAAAAATCATCAACATATTATGATCATTTTGAAAGAAATTTAAAATAATTAGCTTATAGGGATAATTTGATAAGGCCATAATGAGAATCAAGTAGTCTAATGGAGAAATCTCTAATCAATTGTAAATTGGATATTAATTCATGAAAAATCTCAAGTTGGGTTTAGGGTTAAGAAAACTTGCCAACAACAGCGGAAAAAAGAAGCAGAGATGCCAACCCAAAGATCTCATCATTAGAAAAAATTAGTAATGAATTGGTACTAAAACTTATTAAAATATATGAAAAAATAAGTAGATGAAATTATTGGATTCAAATTTATCTGTAGGTGACAAATTTGACGGTAACTTTTTGGTGTCTTTATTATTATTAATTTTAAATGAACTAACAAATTAGCTATGCTGAATCAGCATTTTCATTTTTTTTCTTTCAACAGTCTATAAGCTTCTATAGTATGTCCACAACTTCGATGAAAGTGATAATATTAATCTTAATTCTTTATATTTGGCACCACCTTACCTATTCTTTCTCTTATTAGATAATTGTTCAAATTATTTTAAGTTTGTATTGATAGGCTCATTAGTAGTAATACATGCTTCCACTCTATAAACGAGGTCAACATATGAGTGGATAATCTCTCGCATTGATGAAGATTATAAAGGGCCAAGGTGAGGACCTTCAAAAAAGACGCCAAGCAATAAATTAAGATTCACTCTCAAAATTTAATAACCTTGCAAGAAAATAACCTTTTTAGGGATTCTCTTTCATCTAGGGAGATCATCAAAAGATTTGAGAAATCCTTGATAATTCTCTGATTGGCGATAAACTATTTGACAAAAATTCAAGCAAGGTGGGGAAAGTTTTAGATAGTATTATTGGAGAATGAGTAGAACTAAATACGAGCTTAATCCTTGATTGTCGTTAGAAAGGTCTAACAAGGAAGTAAATCAAAAGTTTGCTAGATATGCATAATGGGGCTATAGTGATCAATGTGCTATGAGTGAGGATCACTTGATCCGTCATACTAATCAATAGTGGGCAGCTTGAATCCTAATAGAATAAGATGCTAAAGAATTTCATTTATTCGGGGTGAAGACTCATGAAATCTATGTCGAAGAGTATGCCGATCTCTATCCTTCATCGGAAATTCTACTTGAATATAATGTAGTAGCTCATTCGTATATAATTTTTTACATGCAATTAAATTTGGACTATTATGATTTTTTATTGTAGCTTCTCACAAAGTTCACTTTTTCGGCTTCATTTGGGATGGATTTCTTGCTATTTTTTAAAGAAATTTTTTAGTACAATTTTTTTTTTAAATTTGAAATTTTTGTACTAAAAAGTTACTTCTCATTCTCTCCTTGTCACACTTCACTAAGGCTTCGTTTGGGACGGCTTTCTTGGTGCTTCTAAAAGCCGCTTTCTAGTACAATAATTTTAATTTTTGCACTAAAAAGCGGCTTTTAGAAGCACCAAGAAAGCCGTCCCAAATGAAGCCTAAGTTCACTTCTCACTCCTACTGTCAGACCAAACCAAAAAAAAATGCATGCAATTTATTACACAAAAAGATGCAACCCTTGAGTGTAATAAGATAAATAAGAAAGAAAAAATTGCTCAGTTTGACTCACAGCTCAATAACATTGTACCTCCAAGCTAACTTCTCTATCTCGCAACATCACAGGGTCGAAAACTATAACATTGCGGCGTTAGATTTATAACACTGCAGCGTTACGCTCTCTATATCATAGAGGTTCTACAGTGCCTTGGCATTGGATTTACAAAGCCACTACACTAAACTAACAAGAAAAAATTTTAAGCTCAATCGACGAAATTGAAAATTGAGTCAACAATATAATCCAATTGATCGACACAATCAAATTCCACACAAAACTAATAACTATTTTTGTCGATATCTTTACAATATATGAGAGTTATCCGTAAAACAGGAAGGATTCTAATGGTGGCACCTGCAACTAAGGGATGCTTGCTTCATATATGGTAGTTTTCATTGCTTAGCACACTTTAGTTCACTTCTGCTAAATAATGTATTTCTTCGATTCCATTTTATTGAGATTACCAACAACATAATGGTTGTTCACATCAATTCTTCATGTACTTTGATTATATTAATTACAATATTATTCCCCACATGTTTCTTTTTTATTACTACTAATTATATATGTACTAATCTGTTCCTTAATTTTAAGACTTATAATTGATTTTATAATAACTATAATTTCTATATTAAGAGATAAGATTCTAAATTTTGATCCTATTCTCTCTCATTTTACACATTTAGGTTTTGTTTGGACAGCTTTCTGCCTACTTTTTAAAATAAATTTTTAGTATATGAATTAATTAAACAATAATTTTTTTTACTAAAAAGCTATTTTAGAAAGCAGTAAGAAAGCTGTCACAAACAAAGACTTAGGTTTCGTTTGGGATGACTTTCTTTCTGCTTCTTAAAACACCTTTTCAGTATAAATATATATATATATATACAAATAATGAACCCTTACACAGCTTGAATTATTTTGATTTAATTATTTATATAAAAATTACAATGCTCACTAATCACTATATATCCATTGAGATCAAGCCAAGAGGACTTAACGTATTTGGAACAACTAAGTGATATAATTAATACTTTAATACACTCTTATTACCAACCAAAATTATTTAAGACATTAATGACTGATGTTACTCAATCTTTTTTTTTTTTTCAAATATTATTTGATTTTATCACAATAAAAAAGTTTTCTTTATGAATACTCCTTTTTCTACAATTTCAATAAATATTTATTCTATTTAATCATTAGGAAAAAAAATGCACTATATTTTTTGTCATTTTGGATGAAATTTCTATGCGCCAACGCAAGAAAATTCATCAAAGACTTCGTCATCCCAAATGTCATCAATTGTAACGTGTTTTTATCTCCATTTAATAAAACTTAGGCTTCATTTAATATAGTTTTCTTATTACTTAAACAATTTTTTATTAAGCAATGAAAAAAATAGTGATCTAAATCTATCTTCACCTTAAGCTTCATTTAGGACGGCTTTCCTACTGCTTTATGAAGTAGCATTTTAGTATATATGTTTTTAGTTTAAGAAAATTTTATACTTAAAATTGCTTTAGAAATCATTAAAAAAGTCGTCCCACACAAAATCTTAGTTGAATACATTAGTCTAAAACATATTTTAAGGCTAAAAAATTAAGTTTATAAATAAGAGCTAGCTACTTCAAACTTGTTCATAAATATTATTTCTAACTATCCCAATGTGGAATTAAACCCAAAATCTCATATCTCGGCAATCTTCTCTCTCACTTGAGGGACCTTCAAATATAGAGAAATTATTCTGTGTGGAGACTGGATGCAGAACATCGTTCGGAGACAAACTAGAATGTGTCATGCTAGCAGTGTCGAGCCTTGGTACCAAGCAAGGGGTGACATAGCGCATTTTAGTTGGTTTGCAGATGAGGTTCGGCGTCTGCATAGAATAATTAATCTCAAATAGGACTTCTCTCTCACACATAGAAGCTTTATAATTTCACATGATTTCGTGCACAAAGAGTTTCGCTCAATCACATAAAGACATTATGGGAGTCGCTCTCTTTTTAATTATGCACCGTAATAAAACTCCAAGTAAAATTCATGTGAGACACAAATAGTAAAAACCACTCAATTTCAACTGAAGAATCAACTATGCTATTATTTACTAAAGATATGTTTGGGGCGGCTATAACTTTTTGTTGAATTGGTCGTAAAATTACTTTAAATAAAGCAACTTTACTATTGGGGTTTCAAAAAGTAGCTTTTGACCATCAAACTTTGAAAAATAGCGAGAAAGCAATAATCAAAGTAATTGATATCTAAAAAGCAAAGTAGTCAGAAAGCTATCCGAAGCAGATCCTTTGACTTAAAAAATGTTTGATCCAAACCATTATCTTTGCTTTCATGATGGCTCAAAATTTGAGTTTCTCGTCTTATCCTCTGTTCTCTTATTTCCCCTCACAATCAAAATAGATTAAATCAACGCAGCGACAATATGAGAGAACGCTCAATTGCTTCAAACTTTCTTTAAGAATCGAACTTGCAATCAACTTTTGGCCAAGTAAACGTTAATGACAAATCAATAAGAATTTAACGTATCCTTCGAAACTTTAAAAAAATTAATAATAATAAGACTTTTATTTGGGTGAATCACCACTAAAGTTTTGTTTGGGACGGCTTTTCTAATGTTTCTTATAACAAATTTTTAGTACAAAGTTTAAGTACGAAAAAGTTGTTATAAGAAGCTGTAAAAAAGCCATTTCAAATGAAATCTAAGGCTCCATTTGGGACGGCTTTCTTACTGCTTCTTAAAGCTGCTTTTTAAAACAAAAATTAAAATTTTTGTACTAAAAAATCGCTTTAAGAAGCAGTAAGAAAGCCGTCCCAAACGAAGCTAGCATAAGTTTAATACTGCTTGGCTTTTACCAATTTGCTGAGAAAAAAATTATTTGGATATTCTGATTAAATATTTTATCAAGGTGAGTTACATGAGCTCCAATGCATAGTTGGTTCAAAAAAGATTTTTAAATCTTAATGTGCCGAGCTGGAGCACTCATCCAGTTAAGAAACAAAAAAAGATGAGCTTTGCATCGATTGAATCTGTTTTGAGATAAATACATTATAAATTATTTATGTATTGCATTCATCTCAATAAAAAATTAGGTTTTATTTAAGAATTTTTTTTTATTATTTTGTAAAGCTGATGTAGAGAACATAAATTTTTAAAATTATTGTAGAAAATAACTTTCTAATATATATATATAAGAAAATTTTTTGGAAGGAGTGAAAAATAGTAGCCAAACAAAAATTATAGTGGCAGTGTGAAAGCACTACAGTAAAAAAGCTATTCCAAATTAAGACTTCGTTTGGGATAGCTTTCTTATTGTTTTTTAAAATAGCTTTTTTGTACAAAAATTTCTAATTCAAGAAAATTTTTAACTTAAAAGTTATTTTAAAAAACATTAAAAAAGCTGTTACAAACAAAGCCTAAGCCTTAATAATGGCTTATTATGATCATTTTTGGACATTTTTTTTGGAAATGTAGTAGATTAATCTATAATTGAATTTGCGTTTGCCATTCAATTATATGCATACACACACGTTTTTAATGTATGATCTAGTCTTTACATTTCTTCATTTGTAGAGTTTTTTTGTAAAATTGTTGTAGTGAAAATAATTTCTTTGAGCCGTTATAGAAAGCAGCTTTCAAGTATATATTTTTTATAAACAATAAAAAAAATAACTGCTAAATAAAAATTATGATTGCAATCTAAATAATAAAAAAATTAAGAAAGCTATTCTAACATAGCCTTAGACTGAATGAAGGTTAAGCCATTGATCTCATTTATTATCTCTATCTTTTATAAGATCAAGGCTTTGAAACAGAAGAAGGAGATATTAGCAATTTGATGGTTTGATCAGGATCGAATTGGATGACATAATAAATACTTATTATATTTAAATATAATAATAATGACACAACTATTTATGAATATATGACAAAAATTGAACATAATCATAATATGAAGCATAAAAAATATAACATTATATAAAGTAAATAAGAAAAACATGATAATATATTTCACGTGAAGACACAACTAATCATAGAAAGATTTTAACATTTTATAAAAACTAATAACGAAAAGAAAATATATTCATGATATGGAGATGCAGTTAACTATATTTTACTTTCTCAGTTCAATAGTTTCAATAATTTCATAAGAGAAAAATCAAAGATCTCCTAAATTTGCATCATCAAATCTATCCAAATATTGAGTCCTTAGGCCTCGCTTCACCAAAATGTTTAAAACCAAATGCATCCGATTGATCGAACTCGATTATGTCGCCTACATCTTATTCATTCTCTAAGTCACCTTCATCAACAAATATGAAATATAAAATAAGATATTATTATTTTTTTCATTTGAATGATATACTGATATTTCATTATCAACTTACTATGTCCTAGTTGATTGGACGATATGTTTTATTCTTTAACAACTAACATTGTATCCTCTTTGTATATCTCATTTTCTAAGTCCTGTAAATGAAGTTCTGGAGTTGTTTCATCTTCAAGTATCTATAAATCAATCATTTCAACACAAGTGTAGTTCAAATGATCATAATGTCTTTTTTTAAGTTAAAAACTTCAAAATGAAAAAAATAACTTTAGGTTAAGATTGTACATACTTTTTAAATTGAAACTTGTACATAAATATTCATATATTATAAGAATATATATATTCTTTAAATTTTTATTATGTCGAACACATACCAGATCGTTGAGTCATTGATGTTCCAAATAATTCCGTCTCTTTGAGTAAAATTGTTAAAAAACACTCTAATTTTTTTCATATCCTGATGAAGATGATGTTTGGCTTAGAATTTTTATAGCTACTTTTTGCAAGCTTTAAGCACTTGATCCAAATATCTTTCATTACTCATATGCATATAATCAAGTTAGAGAGCTTAGTGAGTACGTATATTTGTATTAAGTATATACACATGTTGACATTAAAAAGAGAATTACCTTGTTATATTTCTTTCACCATCGTCAGTGCAGTTGGCTTTTCAAATATTTCTAAGTTATCATGGAATAATTTGACTTCATTCATTGTAACTGTGGGCTTATAACAAATGTCTTTATTTCCAATTATTGAACTTGATTTTGTCTTAGGGGCAAAGAAAGCATCAATCTCAGCAGTTTTTTTTTTTTCCTTTACCTAATTATGATACATGTGTTTTAGAGGATTATGTTTTAGGTAGAGAAGAAAAATATCTTTATTCTTCTACTGCATCATCGACAGGAAACATTGTAATATCTAACTTCTGTGCTTGTTATTTTTTTTCTTGAAATTTTCCTCAAGTTTTCCTACATTTGATATCAAATGTCATATGGAACCATCTTACAAGCAATTATATTCCTCTTTACTCATACTAAATGTTATTTCATTATATTAATTTACCCTTCCTTGTATACATAATGTAAACATTTGAATTGTTTCTTCTCATCAGCTCTTCTAACTTTAGAGAAATGATTACAAACAATATTCACATATCCACGCACTATATAACCGGAAGCTGAAGTCTGATTATTGGGTGCTTCAATTTTAATTAGATTAACTAAATAATATCACATACACATAAATTAAAACCCATAAATCCACAAATAATATCACAAGATAATTAAAACAAACTTCGCCAACTTTAACCATACAAGGTAGAAATAGTATGTATTAGCAAACTATGCAAGATAGAAAAATTAATAGAACAGAATATAGTTATCAATGAAACTTAATATCAAATTCAACAATTAAATTTAAACACACAATTTAAAGTCGCAAAACTAAAACAACACACCTTGTGACTCCAGGTTCCCGTACGATGTGATCCAGCCATCTCGTGACTCCCGATTCCGACACAGGATGGTCAAATCAACTAATTTTTTATTATCACATTGCATTGGCAAATGGATGCATACCTCAATTCGATGTATAGTAGCAATTTGTATAGATAACATTTTATATCGTTTGAGACTTCACCATATATTTAGCATCTTCTTGTTTGTAGAAGAAATAAATTTTTTTAAAACTTCCACAATGCTTATAACATAAGAGAAATCATTGTAATCAATTTAAGAAAGTATGTACATAATCTTGCTAACTATATTTGTCTTTACAGCAAAAAAATTCCCTAAGAATTCAATGTATGAGGCATAACTTGACATTAAAAAACATATTTTCACACTAAGTTGACATAATAAGTAATAAAATGGGACCGGTTATAGAAAAATGGGACCGGTTTAGTAGTTCGGCGGTTGAACCGCCTGTTCTAGTTGTTCAATACCAGTTTTGTGCGAAACCAATTTTAATGTGAACCGTAACCGGCCGGCTAACCAGTTTGCGATTTAACCAGTTGAAACGGCTAGTCCGGTTCGATTTTAAAAGTCTTGTATAATATATAAGATGAAGATCATGGGCGAAACACGTCATAATTTTCAGGAGAGGCAAACTTATAAGTAAATGTTGGCAGATATATCAGAGGTCCAAGGGGGTAGCGCCTCCTGATGGGGTTAGACTTAACAATAACACATCTACCCAATATGTTTAAGACCATAGTATTTTAAAACATTTAAAAAATTCCACCTTTTCTATGTTTTAGTCTTTGTTATAAGGGTTTTTAGGCAATTGCCACAAGCGAGAGGATTTATGATTTTCAAATATTTCAGAAAAAAAAAAGGATTTCCCTCAGACTATTTTGTATTTCTTTTAATTTGAAGTAACGACAACAAAAAGTTTTAAATATAAAATAACATAAAATATAATCCTAATCATTAGTACTAATATAATCCTAATCATTATACAGCTATCTTGGTGGGATACACGACAGCAGCAGACAGCAACGTACAAATCTTCTCTACTCCTTGGCCTCTTTTTAAGTCCCGCAGCTCGCACAGAAGTTCCTCAAACCATTTCTCCCTCCCTGTTCTCTGAACCGGGTGAGATCTCTATTCCCTTCTCATCAATTCCTGCAAAATCTTATTTTGAGCTGATTAGTTCACTTGTTAGCTCATGAAGAAGCTCAGCATTCTTCTTTTTTATTATTTTCACTTGTTTCTGTGCTTTGATTTCTTAGCATAGGAATGTTCCTTGCATCTCATTATTTCCTTTCGTCAATGAGCGCAGGATTTGATATCATCTGAAGATGGAGAAAACTCCCACCGCAAGATTTGTATTTGTTCTGCTATTCTTAACTTGTTCGATTGCTGCTGCGGGAGCAGAATATTTCAAGTACAAAGATCCGAAGCAGCCATTGAATGTTAGAATAGAAGACCTTTTAAGCAGAATGACACTTGTTGAGAAGATTGGTCAAATGGCTCAGATCGAGCGAAAAAATGTCTCATTTGAAGTTATCAAAAACTACTTTATAGGTAACATAATTGAATCAAAGTTTTTGAAGAGATGAATTGCAGGTGTGGAAATTAAATTTGTTCGATACTTTTTTTTATTAATGAAGGTGGTGTAGTGAGTGAAGGGGGCAGTTCTCCTGCTCCTAATGCATCTGCAAGAGTTTGGGTGGATATGGTGAATGAGATACAGAAGGCAGCTCTCTCTACCAGACTTGGTATTCCAGTAATATATGGTATTGATGCAGTTCATGGCCACGGCACAGTCTATAAAGCTACAATATTTCCACATAATATTGGCCTTGGAGCTACCAGGTTAGAAACTACCATGTATTATGGTCATTTCTCATTTTAAAAAGTATTATTTTTTAATTTTTTTTGTTTTGAATGGAATAAATTTTTTACTGTTTTCTAAAATAATTTTCTAGTTAAAAGTTTTTTACTAAAAAATTGCTTTAGACTTTTTTTTTTGAACGGGGGTATTTACCCGCTGCTATCCCCTTAAGAGGAACTTGGAGACGTAACCTCGCCCAGCCAACCAGCAACCAGCCCCACAAGTGTAGGACCCATAGTTATTTTCTCTCCACTTCAGGGGTTGCACCGCATTAGAAATGATTTGAATATGGGTTGGGGGGTTCACCCATAGGGTTCCCAACTATGCTCTCCCATCAACCCAGTTAAGCCTGATGGGATACTGCTGCCTTAGACTTCATTTGGAATAGCTTTCTAACTGCTTCTTAAAGTAGTTTTTTAGTATAAAATTAAAACTTTTGTATTGAAAAGCTGATTTAACAAGCAATAAAAAATCCTTCTCAAACTAAGTCTTAGGCTTTGTTTAGGACGGTTTTTTTTATTATTGTTAATAGTAGATTTTTAGTATAATAATAATTTGAACTCGACATTTTTATACTAAAAAATTATTTTAGAAATCATTGAGATAGCCACCCCAAACGGAGTCTTAATCATTCGTCAAACTCATTTATGGTATAAAAAGTTAGTCAAAGTACCTTTAAACTATTTTTAATTAGATGCATGAAAGCAATGTACAAATTAGTTATTTTTATTTGAAATTGTCCGATTCTGTATGGATCAATATTAATTTAAATAAATTAAAAATGTTTTCTCTTAAGACAAAGAAACTTTTTGTTGTCTAGCAGGATAGACATATTATTTTTAAAAATAAAAGATCTTCTATTTATAAAATAAGAATATAAATCTCAATAAATAAATAGGACAATATTTTTTTAGGTTGCGCTAAAAAAAATTAGGAAATATATTTTTCAAAAACGTTTTTTAGCTCAAAGTTTTCTTCCCTTTTTTTTTTGTTTAAAAATAATATGAGTGTAAGGCTATATTATCTTAATATAACGTTATACTTAATAAATAAAACTAAATAAATGTGATGAAAGAATCTAGAAAGATGAAATGGTTCCTAATAAATTTTCTTGAATTAGAATTTTTTTACTAAAAATCAGTTTTAGAAAGCAATGAAAAAACTATCCCAAACTAAGCCTAAAAGTTCTCATATAGGAGCACTTTTATTGAATTAAATTTTTTGTACTAAAAATCAGTTTTAGAAAGCAATGAGCAAGCTGTCCCAAATGAAGCCTAAAAGTGCTCATATAGGAGCACTTCTCAGATATTACCTTAGGAAAACAAAATAGTGAGGCCATTGAGCCAAAGTGAACATTACTCAATGGTTGAGAGTTTGTGCTATTAGAAATGGTATCAGAGTAATATATCAGTTGGAAGATGAATTAAGTAATATACAAGATAATTAGCAATGAAGTTACACCAAAAAATAAAGCCGGGAGGCCATTAGGACAAAACGGATAAAATTGAAATGGTTGAAAGTTTTAGCTATTACATATATTTATTGTGTTTCTTCTGCTTTTTATTAAAAACATTTGTTTGAAAGTGTTTCTAGCTTGGAGTGCTTTGATGCGTGAAATTTTCATGTACTCCTCGAGGAGTTGTACTTTTGCTCACCCAACTCAAGCTCATAAGTGATTTACTCATCCATACAACTACAACTCAGGCTTCGTTTGAGATGGCTTTCTTACTGCTCTTTAAAGCAGCTTTTTAGTATAAAAATTTAAATTTTTATACTAAAAAGTTCCTTTTAGAAGCAGTAAGAAAGTCATCCCAAATGAAGCCATAGTAGTGTAATATACATAAACATATATCATACCCATGCATCATTGGATCTTCCAGTACTTTGGTTCTCAAATGGTAGGTCTTTATTTTCAGGGATCCAGCCCTAGTGAAAAAAATTGGTGCTGCAACGGCTCTTGAAGTTAGAGCAACCGGCATTACCTATGCTTTTTCTCCAAGCATTGCGGTATTCATTACAAAAGAAAAAATCTGATATTTTTTTGACACTCCGTGTATTATTTTACTGAACATTCATTTGCTCTATTTTGCTTGAACTTATTCAGGTATGTAGAGATCCTAGATGGGGTCGTTGCTATGAAAGCTTTAGTGAAGATCCAAAGCTTGTCCAAGAGATGACTGAGATCATCCCAGGCTTACAAGGAGATATCCCAAAAAATTCTCTCAAAGGAGTTCCCTTTGTAGCTGGCAAGTAAGACTTTCTCTATAGTAACCCTCATGTATCTGATCATCGATCTTTCTCATGCTCATTGACACATAATTAACAACATCTATGATTCTTTGAATCAGGAAAACTTTAGGCTTCATTTAGAACAGTTTTCTTACTACTTCTAAAAACAAATGTTAACAAAAAATTAAAAATTTTGTACTAAAAAACTCCTTTAAGAAGCGGTAAGAAAGCCGTCTCAAATGAAATCTTGATTATAACATACTAGTTTGGTTTATATAGCTTTCCGCACTTGATGAATATTTCAATTTGATTAAAAATAGGACAAAAATTGCTGCTTGTGCAAAGCATTATGTTGGTGATGGTGGAACATACATGGGCATTAATGAAAATAACACAATCGCCAATTTCCATGAGCTACTTAGCATCCACATGCCTCCTTATTACAATGCTATTATCAAAGGTGTCTCTACAGTGATGGTCTCTTACTCAAGTTGGAATGGAGTAAAAATGCATGCAAATCATTTCTTACTGACAGATTTCCTCAAAAATAAGCTCCGTTTCAGGGTTAGTAAAATACTATCAATATTTGAGTTTTGTTTTGCAAAGATTGTTATGAATTTAGACGATAGATTAACATATCTATATGTATGAACAGGGTTTTATAATTTCGGATTATGAAGGTGTTGATAGGATTACAACGCCTTCTGGTATCAATTATACATTCTCTCTACAGACTGGAATTCTAGCAGGCATTGATATGGTAATTAAAATTTCCTAATATGATTGTTTTACATTTTTAAGATATCTAAACATATTAATCTATCACAATTTATATATAGGCGGTGAACAACACTGAGGCTTCGTTTGAGACGGCTTTTTTACTTAATTTTTTTACTAAAAAGCTGTTTTAAGAAACAGTAAAGATGTCGTCACAAATGAAGCCCAAATGAACTTACAATTTTTAATCATCACAACTATTTGAACTCATTTATCTTTATTAATGTTGCAGCTAATGATTCCCTATGACTATCCTCGCTACTTTGAGAGCTTCCTTGAACTAGTACATAAAAATGTAATTCCAATGAGTAGAATCAATGATGCCGTTAGGAGGATTCTTCGAGTGAAGTTCATAATGGGCCTCTTTGAGAACCCCTTTGGAGATTATAGCTTAGCCAATGAAATTGGGAAGCAGGTTTGGCAATTTCTTTATGTTTTTAAATATGGTTTCAATACTATAAATACTTTATTCACCTGCTTTTATATTTTAGAAAGAGAACTTGTTTAGTAGGACCAATATGTTAATTGCCAACAGGAGCACAGGGATCTAGCAAGAGAAGCTGTGAGGAAATCACTGGTTCTACTAAAAAATGGCAAAAGTTATAGCGAACCAATACTACCACTCCCTAAGAAGGCTAAGAAAATACTTGTTGCTGGTAGCAATGCTGATAACTTGGGTTATCAGTGTGGAGGTTGGACAATCAAGTGGCAAGGACTTAGTGGGAACAATCTTACAATTGGTGAACTCTCTTTATCTCTTAGGCTTTGTTTGGGACGGCTTTCTTAATGTTTTTTTAAAACAATTTTTTAGTACAACAATTAAAATTTTTATACTAGAAAACTACTTTAAGAAGCAATAAAAAAGCCGTCCCAAACGAAGTCTTAATCATCATATTTCACATGATCCACATTTTCATTATAAAATTGGATTAGACTAAGGCTTTGTTTGGGATAGCTTTCTTATTGCTTCTTAAAGCAGCATTCTAGTACAAATTATGCTAGAAAGCTGCTTTAAGAAGAAATAAGAAAGCCCGAAAGCCATCCCAAACGAAACCTAAAACTTAAGAAAAGACCAAGAGAAGCACATTATGAACCATTATAGTCTCATTAAAAGTAAACATTAATAAATTTTGATCACTGTCCATTGAAACAGGAACTACCTTACTTGATGCTATAAAAGCAACAGTAGACCCAAGCACAGAAGTTGTCTTTTCTGAGAACCCTGATACATATTTCATCCAAGGCAATGATTTCTCTTATGCAATTGTTGCTATTGGTGAGCATTCTTATGCAGAGACTTTTGGTGATAACTTGAACCTCACCATTGCCGAGCCTGGACCGAACACCATCAAGAATGTGTGTGAGCATATTAAGTGTGTGGTGGTTGTCATATCTGGAAGGCCTGTGGTCATTAAACCCTATGTTAATATGATTGATGCCGTTGTGGCTGCCTGGTTGCCTGGAACGGAAGGTCGCGGCATCACCGATGTCTTATTCGGGGACTATGGGTTCACTGGCAAGCTTCCTAAGACATGGTTTAAGTCAGTTGATCAGCTACCAATGAACTTTGGTGATGCTTATTATGACCCTCTATATCCATTTGGTTTTGGGCTGACAACTGAGCCAGTAAAGACGAGTCATTGAGCTATGTTTCCTATCAACGCAATATATTAAACTATTTAATACCACATTGTCTAATGTATATCTGCTCTCCTATAATCTCTCTATGCGTGTATCTACTACCTGTGGTAATCTATATATAGGACTTTGTATACTGTAATAAGAAAGGTAATAATATGTCAGCTTTGTTCATTCTTTTGTATCTACATCTACTTTATGTTCTTGATGTTCTACATGGTATCAGAGCTGGTTCCATCCTGAGGATCAAACCATGGTGAACTTCGTCTCCGCATCATCGCACGCCGACGAACTTTCAGGTGCCAACACCGAAACCGCTGCCATCTCTCCGTCCTTAAAATTCATTGTCTCAAATCTCAAAACCCTCATTCCTAATCAACTATCCACATATAACTATCTGATCTGGAGGAATCAAATCCTCAAGCTTCTTCGAGCAAACGACTTTGCACATTTTCTTGAACCCTCGGCATCCTCTCCCTCCTCCCAGATTCTTCAAGAAGATGGCACAACCTGTCCAGCTCCTGCGTCAAAAAATTGCCGCATCACCCATCAGAATCTCGCGGCGGTGCTTAGCACCACAATCTCATCATCGGTGCTTCCATATATCTTGCATCTTGAGTCCACCCATGAGATATGGAAGGTTCTTGAAACCCGGTTTCAAGCCGCCAACCGTTCCAAGGTAATTTAGCTCAAAAATGAGATGCATAACGTTTCGATGAAGAATATTTCCATGATGCAATACCTCACGGAGATTAAAAAGATCGTCAATCAAATCGCATCCGCTGGCTCAACGGTAGACACTGAGGACATCATCCTTTACATCTGGAACGGACTTCCACCATCCTATCAATCATTCAAGACATCGATTCGGACAATGTTCACGCCGATTAGCCTAGTCAATCTTTATGCCCTTCTCATTAGTGAAGAAATCCATCTCAATGTGGAGGCATTCCCCCCCCCCCCCCTGAAGAAATCCATCTCAATGAGAAGGCATCTAGTTTCCCTCCCACGATGGACTCACAAACCGCGTTATACATGTCCAGAGGCCACGGGGGACGAAATCGTTGAAGACAGTCGCAGAATTCCAACCCAAACATCAGATATGTGTAGAACTCTATTCCCACTTGCCAAATCTGCACAAAGAAAGGCCATACGGCTGACGTTTGCTGGCATCGACTGAACGCAAATTACACACCACCGGCAAACCCATCCAAGATGAATAACGCTCTTCTTGCCACCTTCGATATTCCTTCCACCGACTGGTATCTCGACTTCGGGGCACCCTCTCATATGACCAACGGTGTCAAGAATCTCGCTCATTCAAATACTTACCAAGGCTCCTATAGTGTAATCATAGGGGACGGAAGGTCCATTCCCATTGCACATTCGAGCACGGGTATCCTTCCTACCCCGTCTCGTAAGCTTAGTATCTCTCATTTATTGCACATTCCCGCTATTTCACACAATCTTATTTCTATTTCAAATATTGTTAAAGACAATCATAGCTCTGTCACTTTTAATCCAACGGGTTTTATTTTTAAGGATCTGACGACAAATCAAATACTGCTCAAAGGTCCATGTAAAGATGGCCTATACTAGATTTCATCTAATACTTTTGCCGCAACTACTTCTGCTTTCTCTGCCGCTCAAACTCTGTTAACAACTTGGCACAATCGCTTAGGACACCCGCACCAACGGGTTCTTCAACTCATTGCTAGCAACAATCCCACATTGCATATACCACATTCTTTTTCCATTTGTGTTTTGTGTATGTCGTGTAAGGGTCACAAATTGTTGTTTGAAAATTCTTTAACTAGAAAACATAATCCTCTTGAACTAATTCACTTAGATGTATGGGGACCAGCTCTGGTTACCTCCCATCAGGGATTTAGATACTATGTTATTTTCGTTGATGATTTTTCCCGCTTTACCTGGTTATTTCCTATTATGAGTAAATATGATGTTATCAATGTCTTTATTAACTTTACCACATTATTTAAGAACCAGACTAATCATAAGATCAAATTACTTCGTACTAATGGCGGTTGAGAATACATCAATCAGCAGCTCAACGACTTTCTTCAAACCAGGGGCATCCATCATCAAACATCCCGTTCGTACACGCCTGAACAAAAAGGCATCGCAGAACACAAACATAGTCATATTCTGGATTCACTTGTACTCTTCTTCAAACGACATTCATTCCTCATTTATATTGGCCCAATGTAGCATCCATAGCCATCTATCTAATTAATCAGATGCCCTCAACCACTACCAACAATATATCACCATTTCAACATCTCTTCAACACAAAACCTTTGTATTCGCATCTTAGGACTTTTGGGTGTGAATGCTTTCCCCTCCTGCCCCGTCATACGCATACCAAATTCCAATTAAAATCTACCTCTTCTGTGTTGATGGGATACTCCGACACATACAAAGGCTATAAAAGCATGAACAGGGAGACAAATAAAATTTTCATCTTCTGTCATGTTCAATTCCTCGAAACATATTTTCCGTTCAAACAGGCAGTGACTACACCAATACCATCAGCAACTGAGTTACCACCATCTCTTCTCCTACCCGCCTCCAAGGCTTCTAAATTCGACTAACTCCTCTCTCAATCAAACCCTGCTCCTCAAGCCTCTAGTTTTTACATGCAAAACTTCCTGTCTCTTTACCTCGCGATAACATATCCAATGACAATAATCATCCAACTACATCTACCTCTCAGCATGTCTCTCCACCCACCAAACACCCTATGATAACGAGGCTGCAAACCGACTCACTAAAGCCGTCTCGTCGGTTCAATCTACTTCATATAGATTCCAAGACATCTTCGACAATTGATCCCACTACTTATACGGAAGCAAACAAATGTTTCGAATGGTGACAGGCAATGGCTGAATTTCTTGCTCTCCAAAAATAAGGCACTTGGTGTCTTGTCTCTCCTCCACCAACCACATCTATTCTGGGATGCAAGTGGACCTTTCGTAAGAAATTTAACTTAGATGGCTCAATTGCACGGTTCGAGGCACGACTTGTTACTCAAGGTAACAAGCAAAAATATGGTTTAGACTATGGAGAGACCTTCAGCCCGGTGGCAAAGTTTCCCACAATTAGAGTACTATTCACCATTGCTCTGTTTCACGGTTGGCCCGTCCAACAACTGGAAGTCACAAATGCTTTCCTTCACGGACAACTTACCAAAACGGTTTACATGCGCCAACCCAAAGGATTCGAGAACGCTTCCTATCCATATCACGTTTGTCTTCTTTGTAAGGTCGTCTACGGCCTTAAACAAGCTCCACGTCAGTGGTATATGACATTCACCAACTACCTTCTCAAAATAGGTTTTCAGTAAAGTAAAGCGGACCCGTTACTTCTCATGTTCAATCAAGATCAGACTCAAATTTATTTACTAGTCTACGTCGACGACATTCTTCTAACTGGCAACAATACCTCTGCCATTGCGGATCTTCTTCACAAGCTACAGTCTAACTTCACCATGAAGCATCTCGGTTAGCCAATCACTTCCTTCGAATCAAGATCAGTCTCTACCAGATAAGTATTTTTTATCACAAAGCTCCTTTGCATCTTTAATTCTTCAGCAAGCTAATCTAACAAATTGTAATCCTCTGACAAATCCAACATGTACAAAACCACCTACCACGGTTGAAGCAGATCCTCTGTTATCTGAACCAAACCTATACAGAAGGATAACGGGGTTCGTACAATATCTCACTCTCACTCGTCCTGACATTGCATATGCGGTCAACATTCTATTGCAGCATATGCACGATCCTTCTCCAGATCACATCTGCCTTCTCAAACTCCTTCTTCGCAACATCAAAGGAACCATAGATTTCGGTCTACCTATTATCAAATATGCGCTTCGTCTCAGAACCTACTCGGATGCGGATTGAGTTGGAGATCCAACTACAAGAAAGTCTACATCCGGGTATTGCACATTCTTAGGCGACACTCTTATCTCATGGGCTGTCAAGAAGCAAACTATGGTAGCACGATCATCAACGGAATATGAGTATAGAGCACTTGTAGCTGCCACTGTAGATACTCTCTGACTCAAATGACTTCTAACCAACTTTCACATTCTGCATGATCATCCAACGGATCTTAATTTTTTTGTGATAACACGTTGGCAATAGCACTTACCCACAATCCCGTTTTTCACGCAATGACTAAACACATTGGAATAGACCATTGATTCGTACTGGATCATATTCAAAACAACTACATTCGACTCCTTCCTATCAGCACAACTGATCAGACTTTCGATATTTCCACCAAACCGCTATCAACTTCTCGATTCAAGATGTTGCGATCTAAACTGACTATCACTAAATATCTCTCAGTTTGAGGGGGGCTATCAGCACAATATATTAAACTATTTAATACCACATTGTCAAATGTATATCTGCTTTCCTATAATCTCTATACACGTGTATCTACTACCTAAGGTAGTCTATATATAGGACTCTGTATATAGTAATAAGAAAGGGAATAATAGATCAGCTTTGTTCATTCTTCTGTATCTCCATCTACTTTGTGTTCTTGATGTTCTACATTTCCTAATGGGAGAGATGGGGTAACTGTGATGAATGAGAGCTTGAATAAGCTATTTTTGTTTTTAATAAGAGCTTGTATGTGCTTTCGTTGGAATAGTTATACATGTAGGGGGTATCTTCATTTGTCTGGTTTTACTTTCAAGCTTCCACAGGGTTTTTTATATTTGTTGAAATGCCTTGAGGAGCTTCAAACGTGCAATAGAATACACACACACCTTCTTCTTTATTTGCAAGTCTTTCACCTCAATTGAACTCAAATCACATCATTTTTTGTGGTGTTGAATTATTCTTATCAAGATGTTCGATTTGACTGAAATTTTATTGAAATCAAAGTTCAAATAATTTAAAATTTAAATAAAAAAATAAACTAATAGTACATCATGTTAATCAAGTGAAATTTTTTTAGACGTATCAAATTGTAAAGCTCAAACCATTTATTTTTAGGTAGCTAGATTAAACATAGCTCAATAAGTAATATTACTAGCTTAAATGGTAAAAATATAAATTTAAGTGATAACTTTATGCAACATAGACATCAACATCAAGCATTTATCCCACTATGTGGGGTCACTTATATGAATATTTTTTTTCTTCATTATGTCCTATTAAGAGTCTAATTTTCATTTAAATTTATTAAGAAAATATAATTTCTAGTACTTTCCAATCAAATTCTTTTAGGTCTACCTTTATATTTCTTAACATAGGCTAGA